TAAATGTACACATACGTGCTGGCAGCTTCAGGGTTCTCTTTAGGATATATACTAAATTCATTTGGACAAAAAATGGGAGGAAGTAAGAGTTAGTAGTAGATTTGCATATGCACTTTGCTTCATTGACTGACTTTCACTTAAATAAAACATGAATAAGAAATGCTGTTACACAAGATATTATTTTTAGGTACTCTTTAGACCTTCCCAGCATGTCAGGAGTTCAAGAGTCTTCTGACCTAGACCATTCTTATATTCCCCTGACCTTGACTCTAGTGGTGAGACAGGGGCAGATGAAAAAACTGGAAACATGAGCCTTTTCTCCAATAAATGGTTGTGTTAGGATTCACATGGTAGTAGTGATAGTGATATCACTTCAGTTATGTTTTGGTGTGTGGTATGTGAATCTTTTTTTCAGATTATCTTGAATTTTCTCCTCAAGTGTAGGAGGTACTTGCAGAGAGGGAAAGAAGTCAGCTGGCCAAACTTTGCAATCAGAAGCTTTAGAAATAGGATGGGGATAGAGGGGCGTTGGTGTCAGATCATTTCCTCAGTTGAAAGCAAACACTTGTCCTTTCACCCCTAAGGGGATAAGGGGAATTGTTAAGGAAAAAGAAATCATGAAAATCTGAAAAACAAGGCTACATGGTGTGCAGGGAGTGGACTTAATTGGTTGCACTGGGAAATCATCAAGAAAAGTCCCGTCTTTTGATTTGACTCACTCCAGACTGTCTTTCTCAAGTTGTCACTTGCCTGTGTGTGTGGTGGATTAAATGGCATCTGTTTCATGTTGCTGTAGAAGTACGTCTGAACATAGGAAGTAAAGGTTTTGGTTGATCACATTCTTTTCTTAGTACAAGGTCTCCAGGGGATCATCCAATAAAGGCTGGAAAGTACTACTATTAGAAATAAATGCCGCGTGCTTGAAATCAAATAAAGCTCACATGTAATTATAAAACCCACACAGAGATGGAAAACCAAAGCCAATTAGTAAATGGTATCATTCGCCTCTCTGGGATTTTTGCTTACCGTCTCCACTTTTTATTAATACCAACGATGACTGTAGATTTGATTGTCAGTAGTACTTTGCTGTTTTGCCTTAAGGAATAAGATGCTGGATGTTTCCATGTGCCTATTGCAGAGACACAAGTTTTACAAATCCTGGTGTGGGTTGACCCAGCAGTTAGGTACCCACACAGCTGCTTGTTCATGCCTCCTGCAGTGGGGTGGGGGGCACAACAGGAAGAATAAAAGCAAGAAAATCCCTGGGTCAAGGTAAAGACCAAAAGTTCAAAGGTGAAGGAAGGAGGGTAGAGGGAAAGTGCTGCTCTCGCCATCTTTCATACTCTGACCAATGTCCAGCCAGACTTTCAGCAATGGCTATGCTGGAAGGTGTTCCACCCCCTGCCCCAAGATTTTTATCTCTGAGCATGAAGGTGCATAATATGAAACATTCCTTTGGCCGGCTTGTGTCAGCTGTCCCACCTCAGTTCCCTCCCAAATCCTTGCCCACCCCCAGAGTGACAAACAAGAAAGCTTTGATGTTGTGCAAGTGCTGTTCAGCGGTAGCCAAAACCACCGGGGTGTTAAGTAACGCTGTTCTAGTCACAAACTCAGAACACCGCAGGGCATGGTCCCCTGTGAAGAAAATGAACTCCATTTCAGCCAGAGGCTGTATACCATGTTTGGACACAGCCTTTCAAAATGAAAAAGTCCTTTCTTAGTGAGATGAATGAGGTGCTGCAGGTCTGATGACTGATGAGGATATTTCTGGCTATCTAAAGCAAGGTAAAATAAGGACAAGTCTGGAAATGTGTGAAGTACCAAAATAAGAATCAAAGTTATGTAAACCTTTACCTAAACTTAGGTTAAAAGTTTCACTGATTTTTTCTTTTTCCTTTTTTTGTCTCCCTCAAATGCTTAACAATTTTGTGGAAATATCTTACAAATAGGCTTTAATCAAGTATCATGACAATGAATAGACCTGATATATTTCCAAGAATAAACGCCAAAGAGCTATCATATGAGCACTGAGAAGAGGGAAGAACTCTTTCTCTGTTGCTTAATAATTAGAGTTGAGTAGGAGAAAAAAGGAGAAAAGGAGGTGAGAGAGAAGGAAGAAACAGCTTTCTGATTAAATCTTACTTAACTTTCTGAATGCACGACGAAGTTTCTAATCAAATAACAGAACAGAAAATCAGATTGACTGAGGGATCTAATATGAATTTTCATCCAAAGGTGGCACTAGCCTTTTGCTGTTGGAGTTCTTGTTGTGAGCTGGGAAATGCAGATACCAAGAAGCCCTCAACTAATCCAATGCTTACCATTAATCCCAAACAAACCATCATTAGTATCTAGATTTATCCCGCTTAGTCCTTGCTGGATAGTGAATTATGTAACCTTTGTTTTATTAACATTTAATGGAAGCTTATTATCAGGTAGGCTACCTCTGGAATAAAAGGAAGACAAAATTTTTTTGCTTTCTGTTTTTTTTATTTGAGTGATTTTTAAGGTTTTCTTTAAAAAGTTATTTGATACTTCATGATAATTCCATAAATAAACTAACTTGAAATTAATTACCAAGTTATTGCTTGGCAAGTATATTGCTTGGCAAAAACCAGCTATTAGAAAAATTACATAGCCCTTTTCTACTTAACTAGCAGGTAATGTTGAAGACATAATTTAGAAGAGGACTACAAAATGAATCTTTTTGGTATGTAAGAATCTGATGTGATGTTCAGGTGCAAAAATAGATACTTTAAAGACTTTTCAACAAATGCCTATTCTTGTGTCCTCATATATTGTTGCAGACTAGTTTTAGTAGGTGTGGTATGAATAAGATATGACAGAATTTCCACAGTCACAAAGCTCATAATGCTCAAGATCTTGGCCTACTTAGGGGGAGGAGTTGGTGCTGGAATTGTAAACAAAAGTCACTAGGTGAGCACTGCAGGGACAGGGAAGGATTTTGAGGTTAAAACATATGAAGGCATCTAGTGCATTAGGATGTTAGGATTTTTTACATGCTCATGATGCAGTATTGCAGTGGCTGGTACACAAGTAATTTTGGAGCAGTTACTGGAGTTGCATCAGACTAAATGCTGATTTAAAAGGAGAGAAAAGTTTTGTAATCCATGATGTGTGTGTGTGCTGAGCAGCAGACCTGAAGCAGATACTCTGTGATTTGAGCACATTAATGTGTGATGAGAGAATATGTTTAATTCTATTTACCAGATGTTTGCTTTCAATTTCACTCTCATTTTTCCCAAATGATAATGGTTCATTATCAAATTGTCAACATTTTCTCAGTATTGATAAGACTCCAGAGATGGGAGAAGTCCCAGCAGTCGGTCTGAAGCACTATTTCAGCCAGTCTGACAGAAACAGTAACAGAGGCTCTTCTAGGGCAAGAGTTGGAACAGTGCTCTCACCAAAACCATAGGCTGGACAGTCCTGCCTTGATGGAAACCTGAGGAAGCTCACTGAAGGCCTTGAGTGCATTTTCAGCTGAGTCATTGTGTTCTTCTGAGCTTACACAGCAGTTCAGCTCCTGAAAAAGGCTGTAGATTTTAATTGTTGGAATAAACTCCAGAAAGAACTTTTGCTGTGCATGTGAGGTGTGGCATCAAAGCTGTGCCTGCACTTGATTGCCACATCTGAGATTATCACTTGACACACTTTAAAAATGATTAAATGCCTTTCCAGAAGTGAGAGATTAATCAAAAGGAAATACATATTTTTAAAGCTCTTCTTGAGAAGATTTCTGTTTGGGTTTTTGGTGTTTGTTTGTTTGTTTGTGTGGGGTTTTTTTGTTGTTGTTGTTGGGGGGTTTACTAAAAAAAGCTAGTTGTTTCAATCACATAGTAAATGGATAACATCATTACTGTTGATGAAAGGGCACTACAACTGTAAAGAATCATTCCTAGTATTGAGTCGAATTTATAGCCTCTCTCTTCTAGGAAAACTTACACTGAGTTATTATTATTATATTATTATTTGAGAATAATATAAAATTAGAGCAACTTCCAGGTAACTTTGAAGGCAATATTTGATGTAAATATAAGTAAAAATATTCTGAGGACTATGTTTACAACTATCTTTTTGTTTCACTACTGCAAAAAAAAAATCTGTGATATTTGAATGATCCAAAAGTGACTCAAGACACTTTCAAAATCTGGTCAAAAGAAAACAATTCTTTTATTAATTAGGTGATATATTTTGAAAATACAAATATTTTCATAAATACTTTTTTTTTTTCACCTAATAACAGATTCTCATTTTGCCAACAAATTTTTATCTCTGGTATTGTTAGACCATCATAGCTAATGCAGTGATTTACACTCATGAGAAAAACTTTGAGTCATACAGAATTCTAATGAAGGTGTTTTGATGTTTCTTCACAAAGGATGAGTTTAAGCTGCCTATTGCAAAAAACAAACATACTAGGATAATAAAATCACTAAATTACTGGGGGAAATGGCAGCAATCTCATAAACTCACTAACACATTACATGAACATTCTGTGACTGTTGATATCTGCACATATCTGAGCATTGGATATTCATTTAGATTATTTTGAAAAGTTCTAAACAAAAACATAAAGTTAGGTATTTTCTAGGTATTTCTTAGAATTCAATGTGTTTGACTTCAGCAAACATGTAAGAAACGTAGAAAATTGTGGATTTAGCACACAGGGTGATTTCAAAAAATCCTGATGTTACTGCTGATTCCCAGATTAAATGAATCAAACTTTTTTTTTTTCCAAAAAATTAATTTTGATTTGACCATAATATTCAGTAAAACTCAATGACAATTTCCTATCCCTTCAATCACAGGATTTGTATTACTTCATCTGAGTGAACAGATCTTTAGCTCTTTAAAATACTGTTTTAATAATGCATGCATTCTACCACCTTGCAATCTGTGTGCTTGGATTTCCCAGCACTTGCCAGTTTGTGTTGCTGTTAAACAGTATTAGGAGTGAAGCAGAAATGTCAGTTAGAGGAAAGCATCAGGGACAGAGGTTTGAGTATCAAGATTCTACAAGGTATGCTTGACTTTATTGCCTTGTGTAGATATCAGCTATATTCCTCTTTCCTCTTTATCAACTGGAAAAGAAGAAGGCAAGAGTAATAGAAATATGGCTGGCTTAAAGGAAAGGTTAAGCAATAATTTATTCAGCTGATAAACATCCACACTCTGACACTTATACTAATAGAGTGTGCTTTCCTTGGCAGCTGAAGGGATGATAAAAGCCCATCATCTCTTGGAAATGAAATGACACAGGAGGTACGAAGCAAAGCATTAACAGTGAAGGTAATTAACAACTGAGTGCAACAGCAGCTGACATGGTAGATTCCCTACTGGGTAGAATTTCAGTTTGAAGGTGCAAGTCTTACGAAGTCTTGCTTCAACTCAAAATTGTGAGCCTTATAACTAGTGGATTCAGAGCTGGACCAACCATGTGAAATCCTCTGTTCTATGTGTACGTAAGATGTTGGTGGGTGTCTGATCATCCCTTAGGGGGATCTGTGAACATTAGGTCTGATGCCTAATGCTTGTAATGTGTTCCAGGAGCTTTGGCTAAGAGACACAAATAATCTTTTATTGTGATTATTTCATCTACTTTATTCCATACTAGATAAACTAAATCAGCTTGAATTGATTACATGTAAATTATCTAAAAAATGAGAGCACAAGACAAACTTTTCTTCTTGCATTTAATTTTCTGTTATACATGGAAAAAGGGGTCAATTCCAAAGAACATAGAGTTAAACCCTTGCATTAGAATAAGGATGGACTTCTAATCAGTTAATTCAGAAAAATATGAAAGCACCAGGCACTTGTTGAATCTGGAGGTTTTAATACTGAGAAGTCACAAAGGATGTTAGCAGAGTCAAGTTCTCAAACATAACAATTGCATTCAGAGAACTTGAATCCAGCTGGGACGTGAGGTTGTTTCCAGCAGGTGGAGTTGGTGCCAGCAGCATGTTGAGAAGGGAGTGTGTTTGGAGTGGCTGGCAGCATGAGCTGCTCATGGGTAAAAACACTGTTGTCTTATGCCAAATCTTACAAAGGTCTCTGTGTGCCAATGTTCTGACGTCCCAAAAAATGTGGGGATTCCTTTGATTTTAAACAATCCAACAATTTGCCAGCAGAAGTGCTAACATATGTGGTTTATTCCTGCTCTCCCCACCCCCCTTATTTACTATAGGAATTACTGTAATGTAGAGAGATTACCTATAGAATTCATAATCCTCCTTCAGTGGTTTTGACCTCCAAATAAAACTTTAGTGGCAAAACAGCTCCCATATGGTCTTCCAGTCAGAGGTTCAGCAAAGAAACCCATTCTCTTGTAAATCATACAGATAGGGAATTTTTTGAGATGTTGTTAAGATTCATTTCTATTCTGTTTCTGGGGAGTTGTGCTATATTCTATTATTTTCTTTCCTAAACACCAGGTGTCCTCTGCTCCAGATTTGACAAGGTGGCAAAATGCTGCAATGGAAGAGAATCACAAGATAAAATATTTAGGCAGAGCAGAGATCAGTGGCTTCCTCTCTAGCACCAGCTATGTTGAGACCACGCCAGGTAGTGGAGAAAAGGTGAGTGTGCAGCCCAGTGCAGCTGTCAGCAGCAGGGGGGACTCTGTTAGAGATCTGTACTGAGCAACAAATGCACGTGAAGTAGCAGGTGGTTATCTGAACTAAGTTAAGAAAGATGTGCCTAGGCACATTAAATCCAACTCAAATAATCTTCATCAGTGAGGACAGCAGATTTATGTTCCAATGAACAGGCTGTGTCTGAAATAGCGGACACGGCTCCCAGAAGGGATTTTCACAGGCTTTGGCAGGCAGTCTCCAGAGGGATTTTCACTGGGTGGGTGTTCCCAGAACAGATCGTGCGCATTATTTTAAGGGAAAGTTAAGAAATGAAAGCATTTCCCCTCTACTCAAACACTTGGCCAAGTCTGAAATCCTTCCTAGTCGGGTTCCTGCTCTGCTGACCTGCCTGCAAGATGCCTGACAAGTGTAGATGAGGCTGGGGAAAGTTCTTGCAGTGAAATGCTGGCTATCCTTGTGTTAGGTGTCCAGTGACTGTGCTGTACCTATATGCCTGTGTATAGGCTGTAAAGCTGAACTGAGGGAGCTGGATGATGCTGGAGGAAGAGCAGCTTGCTTTGCTCCCTGAACCACAAACTGGGTGTGCTACCATAGCCACACCCCCCAGCTCTGTCCAGTGAGAGCACTGAACATCACTCTTTTTTAAGCCCACCAGCACAAGGAGTCTAGTGGCTGAGCAGAAGGGAATCAATCTAGCAGCAGCACCAAGCACAGAAGCAGGACAGAGGGAGGGCATCTTTCCAAAGGTCAGAGCCTCCCTCCTCTGCCCTAAACACATGGGGAAACTGTCTCTGCCACTGTCTTCTTACCATGGCTCTGTTCCCAATTGCAAACCAGTCACTGTGCTGACTAATGAGGAAGCAGCTCCTAGAGAGTTTATTGAGTGTCCTCCTTGCCAGACCCCATACTTCTATCATATCTGTCTGCCCTCAGGCCAGCTGGGTTCTGCATCTTTGCTGTGCAAAATCAGATCTTGCCCTGGGAATTTAATGTGATTGATCTGGCAGGTGATTTTCAGAATCAGTTTTGATAATGCCAGGTAGGTAAGGCAGGACAGACTCTGAGAAGCCACACAGTCCCACATATGTGGGAATTACAGTGAGTTTTTTCTCCAGGGCCTGAGGAAAATTGTGAAAAACTCCTTCAGCCTAAACATGGCTGCTTCTTAATCCACTCTTTCTTATCTAGGTACTAATTATGAACAATTGCTAAAACAATCCCTGTGTCTGGTGTCCTGGAAGTGCAGTGGCTGGTACCTGCAGCACTGGTGACTCCTGCTGCAGCACTGCCCCAAGGCACAATATCCAGGAAGGATGTGCCAGCTCAGAGTACAATACTCCATTTTGCTATAGTTTCAGAAAACCTGATTAGTTTAAGGAAGAAGTAAAAAAGGTTTTTTTTGTTTGTTTCTATAACAACTTGCTGTGCCATCTGCTGCTTTTTATTCTTGGGTGCCACTCAGCTAGGCAGCAGCTCAGGTGCCTGCTTTTGCAGTAGCAGCTAAACACCAGTGGTCCTGTACCCTGGAGCAGCATTGGCAAGACCCCCTTTCTTCTAGGGAAAGATGGCCAGCTTTCTCTGTGCTACACAGTCCATATCTGTGTCATTTTATTCATCTGTACTTTGAGGGTCTGGCACATACATTCATGCTTAAAATTATAGTGAACATTACCCTGCTGATGTCAGTCGGCTCAAGTCCCTTGGAATCAGTGAAAGCTGTTTTATTCTGACCAGAAAAAAGGTGCATTAGACTTTAAGATGTTGTTAGCCACAGCCAGAGACATTTTACACCCACAGTGATCAGTGGAAGTGAGATGAGAGGCCTTGTCTCACCCTTGTGCCCATTTAATGTAAGTATGGTGCCTCTGGTTGTGGTAGGACTAACCCAGATTTGTGTGTGAGTGTGAATATGGGGACTTAGTTCTGCCCCACATCACTCAGTGACATTTGTACCCAGATCAAAAACTGGGAAAGCAATGGCAAGACATGCATGGCACTACACTGCCCATTGGTGTGGTTTCTCACAGTAGTTTTGCAGCCTGGTCATTTCAGGGGATAGTTAATTATTTATTATTATTATTACTGCTATTGCCATTATTTGAAATTGGTTGTGATTGCAGTGTTGCTTAGAGACACCTCTGGATAATCAGGTAAAAAAAATCTTCTGAACACTGATGGAAAGTCTCTCATAACCATAACTAGTTTGAACTAGTTAGTTTAGCTAACTGGAAATATTAGAAAGCCTCTGCACTCCTACAAAATTTAGGTTTTGAATCAGTTTAATTTTTAACAATTGCCTTCGCCTGTAGTAATCTTTTTTGCTATTTTGATCTAATATTTATTGATTCAAATCTCCTGATAACTGAGGGAAGTCCACAGACAATGATAATGTGGAAAATGTGCTCTGTGATGTAATATCTATATTAGAAAAATCATCTTGAATCATCACCCTGCCAGGTGTTTGTGTTAAAAATCATAAATCAGTCTTGGACAATACATAGTTTAAGTTTTTATATCTGGATTTTGACTTCTGAACATGCTGCACAGTGAAGTTTTGCAGTCTTTTAAGCTGGAGGTTTTCAATCTCCAGTTCAACAAAGCCATGCTTTACCTGTTCCAGTGTTGGAAACGATCCTCCAAGTGAGAGATTAGACAGTCCAGGAGTCTCCTTCTAATAGCGATTTATGTTATTTTGAATCTGAATTACATTTAGCATCTTTTTCCACAGTCATGAAAACTCAACTTTTACAACCACATGAAGTCATGAAAGCATAAAGGAAACCTTCTAAAACTGAGACTTGAAAGCAGGGATGGCAGTGCTGAAGAACAGCAGGGCCTGAGAGTCACTTCATAGCAAACTTGAAGGCAGTCTCAGCAAGCTTCCAACTTTACCTTGAGAACTAACCTGGAAAAGATACTTTGGGATCTTATTTTGGGAATATTGAACAAGACAAAGTGACACCCAATAGGATAATAAAGATCTCTCCCAGCTGTATAGCTTTAGGATTCTGTCCAGTGGGGGATTCAGCAAGAATGATTCCCTGAGTAACATGAATATAAACACTTTGCTCTTTATAGAAGTATGTGGGAAAGTAAGGCTGTCGGCTATATAATGTGCTGTGGAATCACCAGCATAACAATTCTGATCAGACCTGACACCTCCCATCTGTTTCTATATGCAGTCTGTTCAGCATAAATCATAAGCAGATGGTGTCATGGTGTCAGTGTCTCACAAGTCATGCTGCAGTCACCGGGTACTAGCTAGGACTCACTCAATGCCTAACTTCGCCACTTTACCCTTAATTGTTGAGTGTGTTTCATCCATAGAAATAACCTTTATCCTTCTGAAGCCAACTGCTTGCTGGTTTCCATGGTGTGGGTGGCCAGAGAACAGGTTTTCCACCAGCCAAGCTGTTCATCTTCCAAAGCTCCCTGGCTGCAGCACCATTGTCAACAAGTTTTTCAGAGGATCAGGGGCTGGTAATGCATACTGACTCCCCTCCAACCCATTTCCCATCTCTTTGCCACCCACATTGTTAGCCTGATTCTCAGAGAAGCACATGCTTTCGCTCTCTCATCCTACTAATTTGTTAGCTGGGGTAGCCAGTCCTTTTGCTTTATTCCACTTGATCTTTCAAGCTAGGCAGGGCTGGAAGAATAGCCTACCTTCATGTAAAAAGCTTCCCATCGGTTAAGGATTTTGAAGGATTGGATAATGGTGATGTAGGGCTTAACCCTTATTATTTGTGACTACTGTTGAACATCTGGCACTTTAGTGGGAGTTGTTTCTGGTTCAAAATCCAATCAGCTAAATTCTTCCTCTCTGATTTCTCCCTCAAGTTGCAGCTGAGCATATTCAACTACATTTGAATGACTGAAATTAATTTTTCTCTTTTGTGGTTTCCTCTTTGGTCTTATCAAGGATCGAGTTTGAAATTCATCTCTCTAATGCTCTGATTTAAAGCCCAATCAGCAAAGCTGGAGGAAACTCCAAATTTCTTAATTCTTCTTGGTATTGTTGAGATCCAGAGTCTTGGCTGTCAGTCTCTTGTTCAGCAAGAGACTGCTGCTTCAAAGCTTGGATCTAAGTCTGGACCTGACAAGTTCAAATAGCTGGGAAACATCTGTGCCTCACTTTAACTGATACCTTTATCAGACTTCTGGGCAGCTGCTTTTAGCAGTGCAGCTGCAACTCTGGGATGTGACATGAACTATCGATGGCTCTGTCCCAGAACCAATGACACAGGATGGACTTTTTCCAAGGGGAAATGACTCTTAGTTTGCAGAGGCAAAACTCCAGGATATTAATTCCTCACTTCAGCAGCAGCTTTAGGTCTTCCTGGATTTCTCCAAAGCCTATGTTTGAGAAAACCACCATGTGAGAGTCAACAGCACCTGAATGTCTTGCAAATCAGAACAGCCAAAGTTCTTCTGCTGTCCTGTCTCTTTGACATGTGTGTCTGTGTTCGGAGGCAAGGCACTGCATCACTGATCTATTTCAAATCAAGCAACAACAGACAAAACTCCAAAGCAATTTTCAGCCTGAGTAATCACTGCAAATTTGCTCCAAATGTTGAACAGATGGAATCTGTATATGACTTCTCTGAGTATAAACACAAGCACCCTCTCATATTTCAATTGCTGAAGTAACAACACAATGTGGCTCTTGCTAAAGGGAAGGTACATGAATTTGGGGGTCTGATTATTTGTTTTCTCAGTGCAGTAAAAGATCTGGTGCAAATAACTTGCAAATAACACATGACACTTGCCAATTGGTTCCTCTCCATTCAAATATTAAATCAGCAGAGCAGTAGCATGAGTTCACTGCAAAAGGAGTATCATTGATATCAAAACAAATTTAGACTTAATTTTGCTTTCTCTTTCCACATTTGGTCACTTCTGATATAAAAAATGGCCTGAAAACAGAAGTGGAAGAGAGGGGGTTCTTTTCTTGAGTTGTGGTCTCCTCCCCAGCTGAAGAA